GGAATCCGCAACGGTCGAATTCTCACAATTTAAAAGAAATTTTTCGCTCGACTTTCTTTTCAATTGTGAGAATTCGACCGTTGCGGATTTCTCTTCACATTAGAAAAGAAAATCGAGCGAAAAATTTCGTTCCATCCAAAAATTCCTCTAAGTTGAAATTCGGCTTTATATAGAACGGTTTTATGTATTTGCAATTATAAGAAAATTATTTGCTTCTTCCGGCGGAGTATTACGGCTAAAAGAACAATGTCCAGCCTAACATGGATCACAGCATGCATGGGACACTGGTGTGAAACAACATACATGCATGTATATGTTATATATGACATCCCCCCATCCCCCATTCCTTTAGGTCCCTTCACACTCTAAATTCAAAGGGTAAATTAGTACGCCAAAACTTTCATGCCAGATGGGTCGTAATGAATACATTATATCCTATCAGTAGTTTTGTATTCTTCAAAAACCGCTTCTAGATCTTAATTAAAGGCCCACATGCACAAACCGAAATTTCAAGTTTCAGAAGCATATATAAATTAAATTCCGGAAGCAAAATTGGAATCTATGGACGCCGTAGCAGTGAACAAAATAATGTATTATCGTAATGTAATCTGTAACCATATTATGATAGGATAATATTTATTTGCTTTTGGAAAATAAAAGCTTGAAATATCGCGCCCTGTCTGTGTAGGCCTTAGTTCGTGACCCTGTTCTACATTTCGTTCATTTGCATTTCATTACGTGGGATGTCAAGTATTATTCATTCCAATTTCCTACAATTTACTGAACGTTATTGTATCAGCTGCATGTCTAATACACCTGTGTTACATGATAGCTAGTCTTAATCTTCTTCTTGTACATGTTAGTCTAGACTTGTCTTGTTTTGTGCACGCTGCTGTGAGACATAGAATTTTCCAACTGATGTATTTTTAGGTTACAAACATGTGAATAGAGACTGCGCAATAATATATGTTTGCATATTTTTTAGTTTAATTTACACATGCATATATAAATATAGAGAATATGCGATGTATATAAAATTATGTATAAATACACCATTAGCACCTGCTAGAAGACGTCATACAGTACTTAAAACTCGTACGCAATTACGAGAAATAATTTTATTTTGTCGGAGCATTTATATGATATATATTCAGTCATGGCTAATATGAGTAGATATAGTAAGCTAAAAACCTACTCAACGTAAACTAAACGACTCATTTGCGCGTGCACCACAGCAAGTGCGAAAAGCAATAAAATATTTTAATTTTGTAGATAGAAACAAAAATAAATAGCATTCAAATTAACGAAACATGCATGAAAGACGTTTTAAAGTAGCCGATATGGCGGCATACGTGCATGTATACGCACGGTTGTTTAAATTAAGTGCATGTTGTTTTATTAAGTGCCTCAAAAGGCAGTATTACCAATATATATATGCAGTGCACAAAGTACACGCTTTACCCTGAACACAATTCTCCGGGACGGATTGTGGCTAAAACTGTTCAGGAAAGGTAGAAATTATTAATGTTTACTAGAATTAATAAAGTGCATTTTAATTGCATCGTTTAGTAATTTCGAAAACCTTTAAAGGATGAATAAAAGATACGATATTACAATTTGCAAACAGCATTCACCGCAAACACATTGTGCTCGCGTTTGTTAACTACATCACCACGCAAAAGAAAATTTTCTAACATGATATCATAATGGTTTGAAACAAAATCAGTCTTTTGTAAGTTTATTTCAAATTTTCGGTAGCATTTATGGTAGTCACTTGTACTCTACTTATGAGCCTTGGCAAATGTCCTAAAAAAGTTTTTAATATTTGACGCAGGTGCAGCAAGTGATAGAGACCTTTACTGCTTTAGCTTGTATGAAATTTACGGCATACGGCAAACTGCTAATAAACTTTGTGTTATAACTTCACTATCTCAAAGTGTTCAGCAACTTCGCTAAATGACAAACGTTCTACATAAAACTCGTGATGTTCAGCAGTAATGTAAGAAAGCAATGAGCCATTTCTGATGTATTTAATAAAGCAGCATATTTAGCTTCACGTTCGCCGTGTGAAACTTCATGTTAGAACGACTGCATACACCCACAGCCGTTCATGAGCATAAAATTTTATGAGGCGAACGTGAAACACATATAGTCTACGGTAAAGCTGAATTTGCTGCTTTGCTAAATACATCAGAAATAGTCTATTGCCTTCTTACATTACTGCTGAACATCAAGAGTTTTATGCAGAACGCTTGTAATTTAGTGCACACTTTAAGATAGTGCAGGTAGTATATTAACAGTTTGACGTTTCACATATTTAGTATTTTGCTCATAAACTATTTTTAGCACAACAATCAATAGATATTTCGAGAAAAGTCGGCGATCAAATTTCAGTCTATGTCTATGCACCTGTATAATTATAACAAAAAGGGAAAAATACATTTGCTGCGTTGAAACAGTAATGATTATTAATCACTTATGATTTTTAGCACTTAACTCGATGCAGGTAAATTTTAGAATCTTATTTAAGGTTCAAAGGGTCATAATTTCGAGGTGAATTATACACACTTCAAATTCAAGCCAGGAACAGTTGATGGAAAAATGAGTGAACTATCGGTTCTTCGGAAGGAATCGAACCAACGCTTTGGCGATACCGGTGCAATGCTCAGTGGCAAGAGCGAAAGCGTAGGTTCGATTCTTGCCGGAGGAACGACTTATTTTTCCATCATTCTCCCATCTGACTTGAATTTGAAGTGTGTACAATTCTACTCGAAATTGACCCTTTGAATCTTTAGTAATTATTATATATATTTCTTTAAAGAGATATTGAAGTGAAGCGGGAGGTTTTATCTTGCATGCATGCATGCAGCTGGCATTTTCATTTTGTGTAGATACGACGTGTGTTTTAATAATAATGAAAGCTAAATAAGAGGTAATAATGTAAGATGAATTTTCCCAGAAGTAAAGTTGTATAGCTATTTTATAGTATACTATGGTAGTATATCTTCTGTTCGTATATAGCGTTTTAAAGTGTCGATTGAACGGAAAGAATTTACTGCACAAAATTTACGCCTTGCGAATGTATCATTTGCGTATGTTTAAAAACCACCAGCAGTATTAGTAAACAACATAAATTATACGTGTTATATGCACCGCGTCATGCTTCATATACGAGGGCATACTATAAGAGCTATATACATTATTTTAGTCTCTCACTGAATGCCTCGTACCGACGATGAGAATAACGCTAGCCTATACTATATTCAGAATGATAAAAGTGGTTGAGGAAAAAAAGCAAGAAGGACCGTATACAGATAAGAAAATTCACTGGAAGTAAAAAGGGGGGTATGGTGCAGTTAAAACCTCATATGATTTAAAAAATAAATAGGACAGGGACCCCGGCGCGTTTTTCGTAAATTTTCGGGAAAATTTTGAATTATAGGCCTCTGAAATGGCACAAATGCCTCTCCATTTAAGAATTATTGGGAAATAGTAGATATACTTTTTCGTCTCTTTGTTTTTTTTTGGCCAAACATATACATACTGAACATAACTAATTTCATTCCATTTGTTAATATGGAGGATTTATTATGACAGATATCGTTGAAAATTTGAAAACTCATTTGTATGAAAACATATACAACGTATATTATTGAAATATACGTCGAAGCAGTGAAAGTTACGATAGTATTTAAGATAAGATACACTGCATATACTTGTAAGCAAAAAATACAAATTGCTAAAAATATTGCTTGTGAATTTAAATGAACTAAAAAATAGTCGCGGTCCCTGATAGGTTCATAAAAAATGAATAAATTTATTGAAAAATGTGTATGAAAGATATAAGTCGAGCAGAACCTAGATCAAAAATTGTATAAATTTATTAGTTTAAAAAGGAATAGGGATAAGAAAATTACCGTCCTAATTCACTGGATGTAAAATGGGGGTCGCTATCAGTTAAGGACCTCCTATGATTTGATAATTTATAGATTATAGGTTCATGACTTGATTATATATTTTATAGATTATACCTAGGTTTTATGGATTATAGATTTACAGATTATATACGTTATAGATTATATATAGATTTATATAGATTATAGATTTAAAGGTTATATACGTTTATTCATGATTTGATTTTAAGTTTAAAGATTATAGGTTTTATGGATTATAGATTTACAGATTATATACGTTATAGATTATAGATTTATAAATTTATAGATTTAGTCTGGGAGCTGAAACCCTGCGAATGATGGATTGCACAACCCACCTTACAGAAAAGGTTTGGCACTTGATTCTTATAGAACAATACATGCTCTTTAACATGAGATACTTTGTACTTTCTATATGTGGTATAGCTTTCGAGATATCGAGGGTTTTAAACTCAATATGGCGGAAGAACACGAGAGCGAGGCTACGTACAAGGAAGCCCATAGGTTGGTGGGCTTTTAGCCAAATCTCACAAAAAAGCGGTCTCGTATAAAAGCACTTGCAAGGGTCTCAATATCGAACAAATCTGAGTAATTACTCATTGTGTTACGTGAGAAATCATGTGAAAAACATCTCAAAAACACGGAATTTTGGTCTGAATTTGCTGAACACGGATCTTTTTACAAAAAATAACCAAAATCAATTTATCAATTCATTTTACCATGCTAAAACAGAAAAACTATAATTCAAGTGCCGCTATAAAATTTCCGAGATGAATGAATCACGAACAACCTGGATCGAATTGCGTAGGTAACCAGGCTTCTCTCGTTGGCGGCCATATTTGATTTTTATCCATTATTCATTTGGCAAATAAAAAGTGTTTTTTACGACAGGAAAACCGAACACATACCATAGTAACCCTTAAGACTGTTTAAACATGAAGGTAAACATAATAATTTGTGAAAATGACATTTTCGCATAACTTTTTGTAATTTAGTCTGTTGATTTATGGTGTATATTTTCTGCAGACTATTGAGATGCATCCTATATTCTATATGTTATTTCCCTTGCAGAATGTTTCTGTTTTACACACATAACATGAGCAAGGACAAGATCGATATTTTTTTGTCCTGCTAAGGGAAAAAGCGCATACACTATGTGTAATTTACACGATGTGTAATTTTACAAAGTAATGGAGGTATAAGAATATGTGAAAATGAAATAATTAATTGGATATAATTTGTAAATTCAATTATAAGGCTAATTTGTTTTGTAGGTGGATGATGGAGTTCATTTGCTTCCAGCTAAACGAAAAAAATTTACTAATTTTAAACAATGTGTAATTTGTCAAAAAAGCAACAAGCATGATTGTTTAAGAAAAGCACAAGATTCATCGATTGAAAAGTTCATTTTTGCTGCAAATATTCGTAAAGATGACTGTTTTGATAGACTGCAAATGGATATTGGTATTTCTAATCTTTCTTCTGGAGAGATATTGTGGCATAATTCATGTTACGCTTCCTACACTAGCGAGCGTAATTTACACAGCCTATCAACGGATCAAACGGGTTCTCCTCAATTGAATGAAGTAAGTGAAGGCCGCTCGAAATCGCAACGAAATCGTCTGTCGATCGACTGGACAAAGTGTATTTTTTGTCGGAATGCCTCTCGCAAAAAAGATTTTAAACTAATCAATATTGTGACTTTTGAAGCGTGCGATAGCATCAGAGCAGCAGCTGAAGCCAGAGGCGACGAAGAACTACTGCCTGTATTACGAACTGTAGATCTAATTGCTAGTGAAGGCAAGTATCATAAGTCTTGCCACGCATCATATGTGAGCAAGGCTAATATCAAATCGCAATGTACCGATGAAAAACCTGCTAATGAATACGAGGAAGCGTTTGCTGAGTTCCTTGACATAATACGACCTGAAATCGTGAAGGGAAAAGCGTACAATATGAATTTCTTGCTACAATTGTATAAGGACATGCTAACTAAGAGAGATGTAAATGCTGACAGTTACACCAGGCAGAAACTCAAATTACGTTTAAAGTTAGCCTTCAACGACAGGCTTGTATTTCACCAACCGCATGGGAGCACAAAACCAGAAATTGTGTACTCTAGTTCCATATCACTCATTGATGTTATTAACAAAGCTGCGAGAACAACCGAGAACACCACAACTTCAGTTACAGCTCAGAATGAATCCATAAGGGATGAACTAAATGAATCAGTTAAGATAATTTATAAAGCAGCAGTCATTATCAGAAATGATTTAAGAGAGTGCAAGGGCATTAAAATCGATCCCTTATCCTTTGAAGATTTGCGCATGCAGAAGGCGAGAGCACTTATTCCTGATAATCTTTATTGGTTGGTCAGGTACATGGTATCCACGGAAGTGTACGCTGCTGATCCAAGTCCTATATGTTCCGATGTCACACGCGAAAGAAAGATATTAATGATATGCCAAGACGTTATACACGCTGCGAGTAACTCCAGATTGAAGCTTCCAAAGCACGTATCGTTAGGAATAACTATTAAACATATAACAAGGTCGAAGCAGCTCATAACTTTGCTCAACCGAATGGGACATTGTTGCTCATATGAACAAACTGAAATTGTAGAAACAGCCCTCGCTAAAGAAGCAATCGCAAGATCAGAGTTGAATGGAGGTGTTATCATTCCATCAAACATATCACCTGGCGTTTTTGTCCATATGGCAGCCGATAACAATGATTTCAACGAAGAAACCATTGATGGAAAGAATACTACCCACGCGACGACCTTTGTTGCTTTCCAAAGGAAACAACATACTCTCGCAATGCCACCCTATAGAGATCTACGTAGATCACTCCCAGCGGAAACGGTCACTAGATTCGTCAAGATCAATAGTGACGGTAGAAGATATCAATGTTGGAGCAAGACGTCCAGCGGTTAAGAATTACCTTGGTAAGATGGCAGATGTAAGTTGGGTCCAATCAAATGATAATTTCCTTTCCGCCAGTCAAGACGACTTGGTATGGCTTATCCTGCGCATGTGTTCCAATACGATGTTTGAAGAAACTTATCAACCGGTTGATGCTCAGAAGATTCCAGGTTGGAGTGGATTTCATTCCCTCAGATTCTCGGAATCATCAACGCCTACTTCCATCGGCTATCTTCCTATAATCAAGGCAGATGCAAACGAGTATAGTACAATCAACACAGTCATAAAACTCTCGTTGAAGATGGCAAACGCTCTTGGACAGTCCGAATCTGTGGTAACCTTTTGACTTAGCAATTTAACGTTAGGCGAAACAGCTTCAATGTACCCGGATGAATCAAGACGTTGTAGTTCGTTAGGAGGGTTTCCATAGCTTTAAACTACCTTTCACTCCTTGGAAAGATGTATTCAAACTCTGGTTTGGAAGATATTCTCATCGAATCAGGAGTGTATGCGCCTGGAACTACCACCGCATTGATGGCAGGGAAGTCATACAATCGTGGAGTACGAGCTCACAAGCTTTGTCTCGAGGCTCTATTTCGACAAATGTGGAAAAAGTTTGCAAGTTGGCTTGAGAAAACACACCAGGCTTAGATGAAACTTCAAGAAGGTCCTCGAGTTAATTAAGCAATGCCAAGATTCCGAGAATAAGGAAGTACCTAAGTGAAAATTGGCATTCACTAAAAAATGGTTTAAGCGCACTGGTGCACCAAATCCAAGAATTTGAAAATGAAGGAAGAGTTAAATCGAAGCTTTTTGCATTCTGGAGTGAATACATGTCAATGGTGTTGATTCTGCTTCAGTTTATCAAAGCTGAGCGTAATGGCAATTGGAACTTACACTTGGCTTCCACCGCTAAGATGCTACCCTATTTCTACGCCATGGACAGGGTGAATTATGCAAGATGGCTCCCCGTATACTTGGCTGACATGCATTCTCTACAGGAACAGCACCAGAAGTTTACTCTGAGTTCATAGCTGGTAATCATAGTGTTAGTCGCTCACAACAACCCTTTTGTCAAGTTTGGTCAGATATGGCACTTGAGCAATCAATTAACTGCGACTCAAAATCGAAAGGAGGTTTGATTGGCATAACCCAACAGGAGGGTGCTGTTGATCGGTGGTTCTTGACAAGTCACGAGCGTGCGGCCATCACAAGAGCACTGAAAGTGTTGGCGTAGAAAATACCAAGTAGAACACAAGGAAACAAGTGTTACGCGCATCAAGCGAGATGAGAGGATGTCCAGCGGCTTGTTTCATGTTTTACCACTGGCTTAGTAACAACCCATTTGTCGTTGAAGACGAGGACAATGCAGACGATACTCGCTTTCCAACATTGTAACAGGAGTAGTTTTGCTAATAAAGTCGCAGATCGCTTGGTAAGTGCGTCTGAGATTGGAAACTAGTATGACGACTTTATCAAACAAGGCTTGATACTAATGAAGTTTGTTTTTGGGACCCTCTTAAAAAGCTGAAGATTGACACTTTTAAAGTCACTGCGCGAAAGACATCTCTGAAAGGAACTCGTGGAAAGTCGTAACTTTGAACGCTGACCGAGAGCTATTTGGGCGACTGCTCGTAGTGGCGAAAAAAGAATATCAATCTCAAGAAATCCTAAGTTACGAATTGTCCGTGTTCCATTCTCTCTTGTACATCCAGATGGGACCATGCGAAAGACTGCCAGAGCGCATTGATGCCGATTTTGGAAAGAAATGTCAACTCCATTTCTATATTGTCTGTATCGGAACTGGCAGACAGCTGTTATCATCGATGCCATGCATTGATTCAAATGGTTAGTCAGGAGGAGCAGCAACGTTTGGACAGATGGCAGGTAAATACTTCGACATTAACTCGGGTATTAAGCCAAACAACTGCAGCCGGGTAGATCTCGTATTTGACCAGTACCGTGAACGTCTATCAAAGCAGTGGAACGCCATGAAGAGGAGAAGTTTGTCCATGGAGATTAAAATTCACATGAAAATACGCCAGTTCCCAAGCAGTGGAGGAAATTCATATCAATCCAAAGAATAAGCAGAATTTATCAACATTCTTATGTGAATTTCTACGTGCTACTTTGATGACACATTGCACCCAAGACAGAATGTTGTCCTAGCAGGGCTTCGAGATGGCAGAGAGGCAGTGTCATGTATCAGAATTCATCAACTGTTTCGTCTTTGTTTCGACCAGGAAGAAGCAGATACAAGACTTGTATTGCACGCCAAACATGCTTCAAATACCCACCAAAGAGTTATTGTTCAGTCGCCTGATACAGATGTCCGGTGTTATGTGTTGCTCATTTTCGATATTACATGCCGCGAGTTATGGTTCAAGACGGGACTTAAAGATAAAGCGAGATTCATTCCATTCATTCAAAACCTTCCTTAGGTCCTCTGCTCTCGAAAGTCTTGCCAGCATACCATGCTTACCAGGCTGCGACAACGAGTGCTTTTTCAGTATTGGCGACGAAGTCTTGGGTGTATTGGTCAGTGACCCCAAGCACAACGCAACTCGCTAGTTTAGGTGAAGAACCATTACTCAAGAATGTCAGCTCAAATCTTGTGAGGCATTTGTATGTTCTTTGTATACCACTGCCAGAAATTTGCTAAAACTGACGATGCACGGCATTTCCTTTTTGTCAGAAGAACAAGACAAGCGACAATCTGCCGCCCACATCTGGCAGTCTATCACATCATATTAAAAGAGCAACTTCCAGGCATATGTCTGGAATACAGCTCTTTGTCCAATGCAGAACCTTCCTTCCAGACGGACTTGGATGGAAATTGGAAGATAATGCATTATTGCCAGTCCTTATGACAAGAAATTCGCGCCAGAGGCATTGCAGAGTTAACAACTTGTGGCTGCGAGAAGTCGAAATGTTTACGCAATTGTTCATGCAGTCAAGTAACCTTCCTTGTACAGAAGCATGTGCGTGCATGGCTGATAATCAAAAATGTTCAAACCCGTTAGTGATGTGGTCGAGTCCAGTGATCTAGAGAGTGATGACGACGTTGACATTAAAGTTTACTTGACTATTTTTTGAAGAACTGAACTGCTTTTAAGCTGATTAATTTCGTGAAATAAAGTTTTTTAAAGGGATTGCTCATTTGAACATGCGTTAGTACCGTATTCGTTATTATTGATTGAGATTTAGCTGTTTCATTTTGGGTCGCTGAACTTTGTATTAAGAATACTTAATCATTCTATTTTTAACTAAATTTTGTTTAGTATTAGCATGTAAAAATTGCTCAATGAATAGTAATTTTTTGTGAGAGAATCCGTTTTCACAAATTCAGACCAAAATTCGATGTTTTTGAGATCACGAGTTTTGTCACGTGAAACAATTAGTACTTGCTCACGTTTGTTCGAAAGCCTTTTGCACGTGCTTTCATACAAACTCGTTTTCGTGAGATTTGGTTAAAAGCCAACCAATCTATGGGCCTGCCTGTACGTAGCCTCGCTCTCGTGTTATTCGCCATATTGATCTACAACCTCGAATCTTGAAGCATACCATATAGAAGTACAAGTATCTCATGTTAAAGAGCATGAATTGTTCTTAAGAATAGGGCCCAAACCTTTTCTGTAAGGTGGGTTGTGCAACCTTAAATAAGGGTTTTCTGTAAATACTCCAGACTAATTATAGGTTCATGATTTGATTCTAAGTTTATAGAAAAAAGGTTTTATGTAGATTATGTGAGTTTATAGATAAATCATTATATAGGTTTATAGATTGCAGGTTGTATAACGTTTTCATGCAGCTACATTTATCCATCAAGCGAACATTTATATTTTTTTCCTTTTTTTGACTTTATAGATTTTTTTGCAGTACAGTACGGCCCAAGCATTCTAACGCAACAAAATTTGTATTATCACCTAAGGGTTAGCTTTGCCTGTATTCACAGCTATGACGAATTTTTTATAGGTGAATAAATTGAACACAATAATAAGAGGCAACAATGGCGAATCTCTGGTCATTCATATTTGTTTCCTGCATACTTCTCAAAGGAACATATTCGGAGAGAGAGGGTGTCATTTGTTACAATTCAACTCTGGAAGGTGAATATATCTTTCGATATATAGCCCTATAAAGTAAAATGTTGAAACGCTTTTATAGTTTGAAGCATATTATGGATAATATATACTAAAATTACAAATAATTGTAAGCTAGTGAAATGCTGCGAGTAAATACACGAAGTGCCTTTATCTCCCAACATGCAGTCATCTATTGGGTAGTCTTCAGATAATGGCAATATATATTGCGTGTCAAAAAATTTGATCTTGTTTATATTTATTTCTGATAAACATAACAATATCATATCGTGGTTATGCTGACAAAAACTCTCTCCCTTTTGACTAAACGTAAATTTTGCTGACGCGAGCAACGTGCACAAACTTGCGAATAATTATGAAGCATTGCGCATTCCCATAGGATGAAACCGGACAATGGTACGTGTGCTCAAAAAATCATCATGATAAACAAAAATATAGCAATATGCAAGTCTCATAGTATGAAATTTAATTGCTTTGACTTACCGAGAAGCACTCGATGCCTGGAAGTATATATAACTTAAGTAGTTTTAACATTTATGACGTTTCATCGTATGTGCCCTAATTTGGGTTTGCACTGTGTAGCTGATATGAAATAGATTAAAAATCGTGAATTGACAAAACTTGTTTCAACAAAGATGCATGTGGTTTCAGTGTATTAATACATCAATGGGCATCACAAGTACATCACGAAAACTCTAAATTAATACCGGGTTCTTGCATGCTTTGAAATATTTAAAAAATAAAAAATTTGAAACGTTGCTATTCAGTAATGTTCTGAGGGATAGAAAGTTTGTTATAGCTAATGTACTAATTTACTAATTTTTACAAAAGATATAATGGCCTATTTTTTCTAATGAATGACTGAATGAATGAACATTTATATATTTTAGACTACAGGCTTAAAGGCTCAGTTGTTAAACGAAGTTTTGTTCAGAGCGAGATGATTGATTGCCTCATGGAATGTGCGACTGAGCAATGTTGCAGATCCATCAATTATAAAAAACATCTAAAAGACAA